AGTGGCTAAGGCGCCAGCCACATACACCTAAGGTGGTGGGTTCGAATCCAGCCTGGGCCCGCCAAACAACAATGATGGCTGCAACCAAAAAATAGTCGGGCGCTGTGTTGGGCGCCTGTGGTCCCAACTACTTGGGAGGCTGAGGGAGGAGACTCGCTTGAGCCCAAGAATTGGAGGTTGCTGTGAGCTGTGATGCCACAGCACTCTACCGAGGGAGACAGCTTGAGGCTCTGTCTCAAAAAAAAAAACCCTTCATAAACCACTCTACCCAAGTACCACATAAGCCCCTCTAAGAACCAAATTATTTCAAAAAACCAAAATTTGTTACTTTCAACATCCAACGTATTTAATAGAAAGATAAGTTTATCTACTAGAATTTGATTACTTTGAAATGGAAATTAATTCATTAGAAAAAAACAAAAATGGCAGGCATGTTGGCTCATCCTATAATCCTGGCACTGTGGGAGGCCGAGGTAGGAAGACTGCTTGAGCTCAGGAGTTTGAGACCAGACTGAGCAAGAGTGAGACCCTGTCTTTATTGAAAGTAGAAAAACTAGCCAAGTGTTGTGGCAGGTGCCTGTAATCCGAGCTCCTTGGGAGGCTGAGGCAGGAAGATCACTGGAACCCAGGAGTCTGAGGTTGCTGTGAGCTGTGATGACACTATATACTCTACCCAGAGCAACAGAGTAAGACTCTGTCTCAAGATAAAAGAAAAAGAAGAACAAAAACAAAAATGGTCAAAACAGCTAAATCAAATCACTAAAGCATAATCACAGTATTTTAGAAATGGAAAGAAGGACATTTCCATTAACAGAAACTTTATTTTATCAACTCCACATGCCCATCTCTAAACAGAGAAGTGCAAATAAAACGCAGAGGAGCTGATGTGCCTTGAGTGTAGGCTCCCTTGTCAGGTTCCTCTCTCATTGCACCATAGCATCAAAAACACACATTCTCATTTTACAGCAGAATAATCTGGGTGCACCTTAGGGTAGATTGTCCTATTTTCTTTTCTTGCACAGATCATATACATACTCAGGTGAATTTGTAGGCTTGGACACTGGGCACAAATGCAGAGCAATAGACCACTGTTTCCAGGAAAGCTGTTATTCTAATTCTTTTTCTTTTTTTTTTTTTTTTTTTTTCTGAGACAGAGCCTCAAGCTGTCCCCCTGGGTAGAGCGCCGTGGCATCACAGCTCACAGCAACCTCCAACTCCTGGGCTCAAGCGAGTCTCCCG